ATAAAGAGTACACGGGTTTAGGGGTTTAGGGTTTAGGGTCCTTCTTAAAGGGGACTATTTGGGTTTCCATGTTAGCTTTGGGGAGTGTACCTGCTGGTGCATGCTTGTAAGCATCTGCCAAGTACTTCCTTGAGATTCAAGAAATACTATGCATGCAGCTACATTTGTTTTTCGTTCTTGTGGTTTTTGCTGTGTATCTTGGCTAGCTTCCAGCGCAAAACCAATTTTGAAGGCTAAGGTCAACATGTCCCGTCTTGATTGCCTTGTCAAAGTCCGCTGTCCTTCTCTGAGCTGCCTTGGCAGAAGGTCGTTTCAGCGCTTCTTGCTTGCTGCGTTTTCTTTCCATGTCATATCCCCATATACTCCTATGTGTCCTCATATATCCTCATATATCCTCATATATCCTCATATATCCCTTTATATCTCTATGTACTGCTATATAATTCTGTAAAGCGGGGGAAAACGGTTTTGGACGAAAAATGCTTGCTGCTGCGTACTGTGACAGCTTCAAACCTGGGGCGAAGCTAGAATTTCACGCGGGATGGTCAGGCTGCACTAGGCCACCCACCATGGGAGGGGGGGGCGAGCAAACAGGTCTGCAAAAGGCGCTGGGGTAGGGGAGGTTTTACGAGGCTTCTGAACGCCCTGAGGCTGGATCGCCTCGGCGAAGTTTAACGGCTCCTGGTTGAGGGTTAACCCTGGACCCCTGAAGCGTAGGGTTCAGGGTTTTAGCTTTGAGGGTTGACTGGGTTGTCGTCCTAAACCCCTAAGCCCCCAAATAGGGTTTAGGGTTTAGGGTCTAGGGTTTAGGGTTTAGGGATTAGGGTATAGGGTTTAGGGTCTAGGGTTTAGGGTTTAGCCCCCCAAAATCCTAAAGTCCTGAAGCCCTAAGCCCCTAAACCCCCAGAGAGCCCCAAAGCCCTTCTGCCCCTAAACTCAGCCGCAACCTGTAACATGAAACCCCGAGATCCCTGCGTCCCCTCATCCAGTCGGGTAGATCTCCAGGGGCCCCACATAGGGTTTAGGGCTATAGAGTTTAGGGTTTGGGGTTTATAGAGTTTAGGGTTTAGGGTTTATAGAGTTTAGGATTTAGGGTTCAGGGGATGTGGGGCTCCAAACAGGGAAGAGTAGAGCCTTCCAAAGCTCTTGGGTTTCCTTTAGAGCCCCCTTTTGAAGGGGCCGTTTCTTGGGCAGGGCTGAAGAATGACCAACATCATTGCCTTATACTCTGAATCTTATCTAACGCAGTGAGTATGTTCTGCCCTCAAATCCTATTCTAATTCAATACGCCCTTACGCTGCAGTCCTTACACACCAGTTTCATTCCCATCTTCTTGTGCATTTGCTTCTCTAAGTATTGCAAGGACGTGCTGACATAGCTGTATCCCTCTCTGGGCAAACGATACTGAACTCGCCCGATCTCACCCCAGTTCATATCTCGAAAGCAGTCCCGAATTAATCCTCAACCCTGAGCCCCCAACCTCAAACCGAAACAGTAAAACTTAAACCCAAAACCTTAATCCCAAAACCCAAAACCCTAAACCCCTAAATCCTAAACCCTAAACCAGGCCCTAAACAGCCTTAAAGGAAACTACCCCGCACCCCCAGATCAGCTCGTTCACGAGGTTTTGGCCTTATGCCAGCGGCTCGAGGAGGAGGTGTCAAGCTTCTTTGGGTTCAATGTGGGGTTTAGGGTTTAAAGGTTTAGGGTTTTAGGGTTTTAGGGTTTAGGGTTTAGGGGTTAGGGGTTTAGGGTTTAGGGTTTAGGGTTTGGGGTTTAGTGTTATTATTGGGATAATGGAAAATACAACGGAAACTACTATAATGGGTTATATGGGAATTATAGGGTATATATTAGGGTTTGGGGTTTAGGGTTGGGGGGTATAGGTGTATAGGGGTATAGGGGTTTAGGGTTTAGGGGCTACATGGGTTTAGGGTTTGGGGGTATAGGGGTTTCAGATAGGAAGGTTTAGGGTCTAGGGTTTAGGCGTTACATGGGGATCATACAGCGGTTCTACATATATATATATATAGATATAGATATGAGTATAGATATAGATATAGGGTTTGGCGCTCGCAAGAATTCAGGCGTCCAAGTTTGAGGGTCGCTTTTCTCAGGATTATAGCGCACGTACAGGGGCCACCCCCATATTCCGAAATGCCCATCTAGAAGCCTGAATGCTCCGGCATGTTAGGAGATTCCCCTAAACCCTAAACCTTACCCTAATCTCACCCGATATCTTGCTCAGGCAGCTACATCAGTTACTCTTCCAAGGGATCCAGCAAGTCTCTGGTCAGTTTTATTGTTCTACTGGCTTACACTTAGAAAACACCAAAACACTACACCCTGAACCCTAGGACCCTAAACCTAAACCTAAACCCTAAATCCTAAACCCTAAACTCTAAACCCCAAAACCTAAGCTCTAAAGCCTTAATCCTACACCTTAAACTCTAAACCCTAAAGCCTAAACCTAAAGCCCAAATATCCTAGACCCTAACCTTGAAGCGTGTAAGGTCTTGCCCAAGTTGATGCTGCAACCTGCAGCCCAACCCCTGACCCGCTTGTTGAGGGTATTTCCCCAAAAGCAGGGGCTTCCCAAATTGCCAGAATCATGGATACCCTAAACCCCAACAGGGTACCCCGCCCATGTTCCAAAATGGACGGAACAGGCCAGCGGAGGTGTGGCCAGCTACCATAATCCCTTTAGGGTTTAGAATTCAGGGTTTTGGGGTTTCGGGTGGGGAAAGATTTGGAGATCCGCTTAAGCGTTCCCTAATGGGTTTGAGGGTTATGTAAGGCCTTGTAGGGACCAGTCATGGATTGCCTGGAGATTTTTCAGGCTTGTAACCCCAAACCCTATACCCTTAATCCTAAACCCTAAACTGCGTACACTCCCCCAAACTAACATGGAAACCCATTTAGCCCCCCTTTAAAAGGACTGTAGTCTTTGTAGGACCCTTTTTGGGTTTCCATGTTAGTTTCCGGGAGGGTAGGCCTCCAGGCTTCTCACCAACTTAGGACTTTGGTGCACTTCCCGGTCTAAATACTTTTTTGGAGAGCATGTGGGGCTAGAACGTAAATCCTCCCTAAGGGCGCAGTGCGGTAGATGAAGGTAATCTTGCACTACTCCTCCATCCACAGTATGCCAGGCCAGGATCGGCAAACTACGTTATAGAGATGGCATCAAAAGGTAACAGGACTGGAGTCAATAGCGAGACTGTAAGGGCTGTGCGAGGCTGCATGCTTGGTCTACGGGCCTTACTAAGGGTTTGACCGCGAGGTCCGCCTGTAGTGCGCTGAAGTTTGTGGTCATTGTGCCAACCTTCGCAGGCTTTTGTCGGGGAACCTCCCTGAGACCCTGAAAACACCGAAATAATCCAAATATACTACAGCAGTTTCCATTTTATTTTCCGTTATCCTTACATAACTCCAATATAACCCTAAACCCTAACCCCATAAAGCCCAATATAACATCAATATAATAGACCGCTGACATTTGATGATGCGCGAGGCGAGCTCCTTCCCGTTTGCGCGGTCGGAGGAAGCTTTCCAGGCACCTGCAGGATTAAGGGTTTAAGGTTTAAGCTTGCAGCAAGCTAACATGGTACAAGCTAACATGGTAACCCCAAATCCTAAAGCCTAAACTATAGTTTTTCAAAAGGAGGCAGATCTTCCAAACATACCCAAAGTAGTTGCCACACTTGAATATCAAGCACCGACCCCCCCCCCCCCCTCCCCAAATACGACATGTTCCAAACATTGTGCCCTAAACCCTAAACCCTAAACAATCTTCGACAATCATCTCCATCTCCGATTCCTGCCAGTGACCAGTAGAAGTATGGACATCCCGCATCTGCCCTATAACCTGAACCCTAAACCCTAAATGGCAGGTTCCTGGTCCGATTAGTGATCCACTGGATGGGAGGAGTTGTTGGTCCACAACGAGCGCTGGCTTGAGCGACAGAAAGACTGCTGACAAGCTGTACTTTGAGGTTCAGGGCACTTACAACCCAATTCTACTTGAAACCTTAGAACCATGCTACATTTGGGTTCTACTTGCCGTTAGAATTGGGTTATACTCACGAGGTCTGAATCCTTCTTATTTACATGATTACCCCTATAAATCCAAAACCCTCCATTTTGCATTTGGTCCTCGACTTGATTCTCCGCTGTTGGCTATTATCCCAGACCCCCTAAAGGATCCAAAACATGGAACCCCTTAATAATCTGCTAGGTTCCCCAATGTAGTAATGGAGCCATTTTTGGTGGGTTCCATAAACCCTAAGCCCTACCCTAAACCCTAAACCCTAAACCCTAAACCGCCTAAGAGCCATTTTGGGGGGCCGGATTGCCCTGAACCTTCATGTCGTGAAAGCTCCAGACCATCAGTGCAAGTACTTAAACCCTAGACCCCCGGCTCAATCTGAAAGGATCTAGGGTTTAGGGTTGAGGGGTTTAGGGTTGAGTGGTTTAGGGTTTAGGGGTATAGGGTTGATTTCCAGACACTGCTCTGATCCAGCATGCAGCAGCGCGGTGCAGTGTGCTGATTTGCCTTGCACGGAAGTATCCCTAAATAACATAGATATACCTTCGAAATATCCCTATCTAGACCCATATACAATGGTTGTCTTTCTTTTCTTTTCCAGTATTCCATATCCATAAATCCCATTGTGTCGTCTGCGCAAGGTTTGGTTTCACAGACAGAGCACGCGTCAAGTCATCATCCACAAGCAGTGTTCCTAAACCGTAAACCCCATTAGGCAAGTCACATATTGAAGAGGTGGTCCTCATGCTATCGAAGGCCTTGCTAGTCGACCCTTCACTCATCCTTTTGCATACCGTCTGAGACGGGAAAGCTTCACATGACTAAGGCTGCAGAAGTCATGCGGCTATGTCACATGGGGTCAAGTCTGTCTACTACCGTCCCACTGCCAGAATGCTCATGATTAGGGTTTGGGGTTTAGGGAATCTTCCCTACGTTGATTTTCTGGTGTTTCGCAATGCTTCCCCCAACGCCGGCTCCGGTTTTCGGCGCAGCACCCCTGCCACAGCGTGTGGCGAGCGCGTCGAGAGCTCGATTCTAGATCCTCAGGGCCCCCCAAACTGAGCTATAGTCTACATAAACTCCTTAAAGGGGTTATATAGGGCATTGTATAGGGGAGGACTGTAGGGGCTATTAAGGGGGATACGACGAGTTTAGACCGTAGACTACAGTTCGACTGGGTTCCCTTGCATTCCCCTTTGAGGTAATCCCTAAGCCGGCCCTCCAGAATCCCTTACAATCCAATCCGCATATCCCCATATGGTAGTTTCCCTAAAAGAGGGTACCCCAATATAGACCCCAAAATGCTATAATCCTTATTATGGGGACCGCCCAAACCCTAAACCCTAAACCCCTAATTTTAGGAAACCCCCATATATCTGTGGGTCACCCAAGGGATCCTCGCTTTGCCCCAGGTCTTTTCCTTTAGGTGGACCCCCCACCCAGTAATACTGACTATAAGGGATAATTAGGATGATATTAGGGTCCTATTATATTCCTATTATACCACTATTGCAGGGTGGGGGGTCCTCCTAACTTATCCTTGTATCTTCTTCCGGTTTTCAATGTGCCTGAAGACACTTGGGGGAGTGCCGCCTGCGGTAGTGCAGTAGACTGTGCTCTAACATGTTAATTTGGGCTTAGTTTCATATAGTAGACTTTGATCAGGGTTCGGGCATTCTGGGTCTTCTGAGTTTAGGGTGTACGGATTTTGGGGTTCAGGGTGTTAGGGCTTCGGGTGTCGAGGGTTTTGGGCTATAGTGCTTGGGGATTGGGCGAAGTTTGGTAGTATAGTACAGGTCCGATTACATAGATTCCCGGTACGTTGTTGATCCCCAATGCCACCAGATGCTTTGGGTCATTCCCGCTAACAGTTCTCAAAGGGTATATTTCCTAAACCATCCTAAACCCTAAGCCCTAAACCCGAAACCCTAAACCCCATAAACCCCTAAACCCCTAAACCCCTAAACCTTAAACCCCTAAACCCCCAAACCTACGGTGGATGCAGGAAGTCTTGCACCATCTGTCACGCCCCCACTCCCGCAATTCCTAGGGTACAAGAAATGCACGATGGTGCACGATTTTCCCCATCCACAGTGCTGCCTCTTGTGAAGGTTAAATTGTTAAACCCTAAACCCTACATGAGCCATAGTTTAGACTCCTAGTATCCCCCATAATAATAAGCCTTATGATACTCCCCTATGTCGTCCCCTTCAAGGAGTTTAGACTCTAGTTTACGCAGGGAAGGACCTCACGCACACTGTTGTCAGGTCCCAGCTGCCTTTACCACTCGCACAAGCGGTTCCAGCCGCACAAGCGGTTCGCACACTACCGCTCCACGGCAGCACTTCAGGGTTTACGGTTTTGGGGTTCAGGTTGGGTCTTATTGTCAGTGTCCTGGCTATCTGTAGATGTTGACAAGTAGGTTTACTCTTGCTTAAAGGGATTGTGCTTGGCTCAGATGCTGCTACTCTTACCTTTGTCATTAGGGGGTTGACAAGAGTATGGTTCCTTTTTGAATACCTTAGATATAGAGGGCGCATTATCATAGGAACCCAAAAAAGACCATAATTACGACCAAGTCCTAAAACCTTTTGCTTACTTGCGGTTAGTAGGAGGTAAGGGAATATAAGGTTAGTAGGAGGTAAGGGAATATAATGCCTATAGAATCCCGATATGGTATATTCCCTTCTTCCCTACTAACCCTAAGCCCCAAACCCCCCTAAACCCTCAACCCTTCGCGGTGCCAGGACTGCTCCTGGTAGCTCGCCACTGGTGACGACAAAGGCAGGGACTTACTTGCTGGGTTTTAGGGTTTAGGGTGTAGGATCTAGGGTGTAGGATTTAGGGTTTAGGACTTCGGGTTTAGGGTTTGGGATTTAGGGTTAAGGGTTTAGGGTTTACCTACCTCTGGTTAGCAGGGAATGCCGGAATGGAAAAGACATGGAAATTGCCATAGGGTTCAGGGATTAGGGTTTGGGGCCTATGAGGGTAGGGAATGAAATGTTAGACAACTAAATGGATAATCCAGACCTGTGATTAGTAGCCCCCCCTCCCCTTAATAGTTTTTTTTTGGGGATTCGAATATTAAGGCTCTAGAAGGAGGATGTTTATTCATCAGGGGTCTACGTTACCATCATATCACTGTGGACTATATACGGCCATTGAGGGGATCAAGACCCTACTGACCATCAACCCGTGAACCCTAAACTCCTTAGTCAGCGAGCCTTGAGCAGAGCCTGCATTTGTAAACTTGGAACCACCTAGGATACAGTCCCCCTTAAGTAGATAGAATATGGGGTATGTGGGGATCTTATTATGATATACCCAAAACCATATTCTATCTACTTAAGGGGGACTATAGGCTAGCTGAACCTTTGTAGTTTCTCAGCTTCCAAAGCTGTGGGTACTTAAGATTAAGATGGTGCCGGCCTTCTTCCGCGAACATTCTGTGCTGTTCTCCATGTATGCAGCGCGCAGGTAGCGGGGCCTTTGCAAGGCCGGGGATTGTTGACGCTGTGTGCAAGTGTTCTCTGTTTGTGAAGCCTGTCTGTGGAGCTTTTACGCGCAGGCCAGCCTGTAGCTACGGCCTTGCCGCCTACGGCAAGTCCAGGGCTGCAGCGGTGCTACAGCACAGGGAGCATGCAGGTGTCTCTTCACTCGCAGACGCCGTCGCAGGTTACACCTTGTGCCACTCCACCGGCAGTTCGCTTTTACTCGGGAGTGATCCGAAATAGTGACGCGGTACCCATTGCCACAGTGCGGTCTGCAACTCTTCCTCAGCCTCAGGGTTATCCGCAGGCCGGCATGCCCATAATGGTTAGGCATCAGTCAACTGCTTCACTCAGAAGCCATCATTCTGTGGAGCGAGCTGTGCCTCTAGTGACCACTCCTAAGTCTAAGGACGCCAGCCCAAGGCGGGGATCACCCAGAGGGCATAGTCAGTACGCCTCAAGGGCCAGTCTGGCAAAGTCAGTTGAGGAAGAGACCTGTACGTCGCCTAGATCCATCCGCTCTTTGCAGTCCCCAAGATCTGTACGTTCGCAGTCGCGCAGCGGCAGCCCCAAGGGTGAGGAGAGCAATGCCAGGGCAAGGAGCCGCCACAACACAGCCGACTCTGCAGTGACAGAGGGTGAGGAAGCTCCTTGGGAGGTACCATATGCAGCTCGAACTGGCAGCCAGTCACCTCGTGCAGCCACCCCACTCACTGGCAGATCAGACTCACAGAAACGGCGCTACCACGACCTCTACGAGGATCATGAGATACGAAAGCAGAAGTGGCAAGCTAAACTGGAGGAGAAGAAGCGGAAAGAGGAGCAGGAACTCCAGAGGGGCATTGCAAACACTTGCAGCCCACGGCATTTCAATCCAGAGGAGTTCCACAATTGGCTCTGGGCTTAGAAGCTTCCTGCTGCAGAATACACAAATCATAATTTCCATTCCCAATCTCATTATAGAGATAACTGGGGTTATATTGGGGTTATATAGGGATAATGGAAACGAAAATGGAAGCTACCTTTTAGGATTCAGTGTTTCACTCCCGGTGGGCTTCCACAGTGTTCTGAAATCAGTCTTTGCAAGCAGACATTGCCCAAGCGACTGTCACTATCCTGCCAGGATGACTGCTGAAATCAGGTCATAGACAGGATGCATTCGCATTTGCTGAGGTATGCCGAAAGCATGAACAAACAGCAGAGCTTCAACGCGAACCGCCTGGAAAAGCAGCGGTCGGAGGCCGCCATTCTCCGTCTTACACTCACAACCCCAATTTCCATTTTCTTTTCCATTATCCTTACATAATCCCAACATACTATAGTAGTTTCCATTTTCTTTTCCATTATCTCCCACAAACTAACATGGAAGCTGCAAAATGGGCCCTGCTAAGACTACTGTTATTCGGGAAAGGGACCGTACCAACTTCCATGCTTGTTTGGAATTGTTTGGAGGAGGGTAGCCTTGAGCATATTTTGCCTTGGGTTTTCAGAGAGGGGGTTGAGTGACTCCGTGCTATTGGCTGAGCCCACGCGCAGCCTTCGCACTGTGCAGAACACATAGAAGAAGCAGAAGAGGCTCGAGGATTTTGTTTGTGTAGGCTGGAGCGCTTGATAGAATTATGCACCACTTCCACCATTTCATATAATCCCTAAACCCTAAACCCCCAAATGTAACCGTGATTGTAAACTACGCCATCGAATGTATTTGTTAGGAGGACCCCCCCTCCCAGTAATAGTGACTATAAGGGATAGTAAGGATTATGTTAGGGTCCTCTTATATTCCTATTATACCACTATTACCGGGTGGGGAGTCCTCCAAAGAATTTTGTTTTGTGCTGACCGCGAGGCAAGGTTACGAGCCTTCCAGGACTCTTTTGTTGGATGCTTGCTATGCCGGGGGAGGGGGGGGTTGGGAGGGTTTGGGGTTTAGGGTTTAGGGCGGGTTAGGTTTAGGGTTTAGGGCTTAGGGTTTAGGTGGTTAGGGTTTAGGGGGTTAGGGTTTATGGTTTAGGGGGGTAGGGATTACAGATTCAGGCAGCTTTGCATCAATTGCGGGCCTTTGGTGGGAGGGTCCTGAGAGTCTCTTGGGGAAAAACAGGGGACCTTGATTTCGATGCATAGTGAGGTGAGCTTCGTCAGCCGCTTGGCGCATATGTAACGATTACATGATGCGCGGTGCCGTTAGCTATTATCTTCTTTACAAATTCCAGGGGTAATGCAGAAGAACACAGGTTTGTAGAATCAAACATCTGACCTGAAGGTATTCCTAGTTTGGATGGCCTGCGATAATGGACGCTGCCTGAGAATGTATCAAAGATGTTACTCCGCCGGGTGTCCTTACAATATTTGAGAGGGCTTCATCTTGGACTTTTTGAAGTTGCCCTCCGTTTAGGGTTCAGGGCTCAGAGAAAGCAATCAGGGCGTACCCAGTTAGAGCCTACCCCCTAAACTCCTTGCAATCTTATGCCAATTGGGGTTTAGGGCATAGGGTTTAGACTCCTTGCAATGCCAATGGACAATTCCCACACAGTCCCCCCAAAAAGGGAACCCTTAGCGTATTGAAGAATGCAAAGCTCGGATCAAGCCAATCCCCTAAACACTAAACCCTGAATCCCTAACACTCACTCCTTAACCGTGAGCCCTGAGCCGTTCATAGCAGTCTATAGCAAATGCTGGAAGTGCAAGCATCCCAGCAAGGTTTGGGGTGTACGTGTTGAAACGTCACAGCGGCTTTGAATTTTGAGAGTTCAGGCATCAGCTTTTATCGTTTAGGGCTTCAAGGTTCTGGGTGTAGGGGTTCGCCGTCTTGTTGAAGATTTTGCGGGCCTGCAAGGGGCTTGGTCCTGCACCCTTTTTTTGGCTTTGCCAGCTTGTCGTGGTTGGTTTCCCAACAAAGGCCGGGCCTCAGGGCACTGAGGGATCTATGTAGCTTGTGTGAGGATTATGCAAGTCCCTGCTTGGAATTCTTTTGGGTCTATTTGAGAAGCTGCCAGTGGCCCTACAGGAGCTTTCCGAGTGCACCTTCACGCCGATGGCGCCCGCATCGAAGGCCTCTGTTCAGACTGCAGTCTTTGTACAGCCCTTTCGGAGGTTTCATGTTTGTTTGCGAAATTGTAGGGAGAGGGTAGACGAAGCGGTCTTACCCTGACGGGTTTTTATGAGCTATAGTCTAAACTCTTTAAGGGGGGTTATATAGGGGACTAAATAGGGGACGATTAAAGGGGTTATAAGGGGGGATACTAGGAGTTTAGACTATAGCTCATATGTGTTTCAAGTAGGGCTTGAAGCTTAGAACTTGCTGGAGATAAGGACTCAGGTCCAAAAGGCCGCTTCAACAATTACCGAAAGCACTTTGGCCGCCCATCATGCAGCCTAAGCCCATGACCCTGGGTTAGGGTTTAGGGTTCTGAGCCCTGCACCTTGAACCCTCAAACCTGAAATCACGGGTTGAGGTTTTAGAGTTTAGGATTTAAGGTCCTGAGCCCTACACCTTGAACCCTTAAACCTCAAATCACGGGTTGAGGATTTAGGTTTTAGGGGCTCAGGGTGTAGGGTTTAGACCCTGACGACTGAACCCCTAAACCCCATGGTTGCTGCATCAGGTGACCCGTGGGCCAAAACAACGATCAGGCAGGGTCGGTGTGGAGGCTAAGTTGGGCCAAGATTCCCTCTGAGCTATACGGAACTGTGGCGATCCTCTTTGACAATATCCAGCGTTGCAAGGATTGTTGCTGTAAGGGGATTACCCAAAACTGGGGGTACCTTCATGAGGTCCCAGTAAGCAAGATGATAGCATTTGGGATTTATATTGGGGCCCATCTGTTTACGGAAATTGCTACATGAGCTATAGTCAAACTCATAGTATCCCCCGTACTAAGAACTAGAATGCTCCCCTGTATAATCACCAATATAACCCCCTGTTAAGGAGTTTAGACTATAGCTCATATGAGCCAAAATCTAAACTCCTAGTATCCTCCTTAATAACCCCTACCGTAGTCCCCTATATACGCCCTTATATAACCCCTTTAAGGAGTTTACAAGATAGCTCATATGGTATGAGCAGTCGGGCTTCTATGGTTGCGTAAGACTGGGGTCCCCCCACCTACTTGTTGCAAGAAGCCCCTGCAGAGCACGCTTCTGGGAAATTCCAGGAATTGAAAAACCTGAGCCCTAAACCAATAACTCCAAACCCCTAAAACCCCAAATCCCTACACAACCTACAACATCTAGGAATTGGGAATATGTCGTGCGGTTCGGCTTCAGAATCCCTACAGCTTGATGAGGATTCTTTTAAACAACGGCATTCTAATTCTCAACTGACACACCGATGTGGGTTTTCTAGAATGAGGAGTTGTTGTTGCTTGCCTGTAATGAGAATTCACATCTATTTTGGGTCATCCAGGGGTACTCTTGCTTTTGCAAGTGCTTTCATCTATCATCCTGGTACATATACACAACATCTTCATCTGCCTCTTACAGTTACACCCCAAGCCATAAAACCAAAGTCTCACTCCCCAAGGCCTAAACCCTCAACCCTACGCCCTACACAACCCCTAAAACGCCTTCAAAGGGCCGACCTGTACCCTACATAACCACGAGAAACCCAAACTGGTTGATGCCAAGGAATTTACAATTTGTTACCAAAATATGGGTACATAGTAAGTAAGAGGGCTGCCTTATTATAGTAACTTAATGAAAGTTCCTTAACAGCAAACCAGCAAAAGTCGTCCTTGCTTGCAGGCAGCCTCCCAGTGGAGTCCAGGCCAGTCGTTCACGAAGGCGACCAACAGGCCGACTGCTCTGGGGTTTAGGGAGTTTAGGGTTTAGGGGCTTAGGGGTAACCCCAATCCCAAAACCCCCATCCCCAAATCCCTAAACCCTAAACCCAAATCCCTAGAAATAAGGGTCTAGGATTTAGGGTTCGGGATATAGGGCTCAGGATTGAAGATTCAGGTTTGAGGGTTTCGGGTTAGGGTTTAGACCTCTGTTTAGATTTCGCAGAGTTGGTTCTGGGCTTGGTTCATTCTTCGAGGTTCTTTCTTGGAGGTGACATAGAGGCACGTAGGAATGGATTGGGTTGGGATATCCCTTGCACCAGTGCTAGATGGCTTATGGAGGTTATGACGGGTGGAGGGGGAGATTTTGGGGTGTTCAGGGTCTTGTTTGTATGTGATATAGTCCCTCTTAAGTAGATACAATATGGTTTTGGGTATATCAAAAATACGATCTCCATATACGCCATATTCTATTTAAGAAGTAGGGCTCCTCAGTCCGGAGGCCTGAAAAGAATTCCTTTCCGGAGCCTCAGTGGAAGACCCCGAATCTTGAAGCAGACCTTAGGGTGGTGATGTGCTGTCAACTTTGACGAGGGTACACCGCGCGCTGATGCTAACCGCAGTCTCTAAATCCTCAACCCTAAGTCGTAAACCCTAAGTCGTAAACCCCCAATCCTAAGCCCTAAGCCCTGAGCCCTAGACCCTAAGTGTAGCCCGCCTTCTGAAGATCCGATCTTTGATTCAGGCCACAGCAGACGAGCTTGTAGCAGCCCAGGCGAATCAGGGTTTCGACTCCGGGGTTTAGGGTTTGGAAACTACTATAATATATTGGGGTTATATAGGGATAATATTGGGATTCTATAGGGATAATGGAAAAGAAAATGGAAGCGATTATATTATTGTAAGATTTGTGGTTTAGGGTTTGGGATTTAGGATTTAGGGTTTAGGATGCAGGGTTTAGGGTTTAGGATGTGGGGTCTAGGGTTCAGGGTTTAGGGCTGCATAGCCGCAATCCTGCATAACCCCAGGGCCAGCAGACATGGGGAACATCAGAGGGTCGGGAGTCCCTCCATTCGGGATCATGGAGGGGTTCGTTGTGAGAATCGCCACATACATGAAGCCTAGGAATTGTGCATTGTAGTTTCCTATACTCGCCATCATGTAGGGTTTGTCTCTTGACAGTATCAGCACCGTGCTCGTAATCGTCGGTTTTCTATCATACAACGTATCATGGTGACCGCTTTCAGGGACTTCTCTTATGTCGTTCTTGCTGCTTGAGTAACATGCTGTGTGGCTTGTAGACAAAGCAGAGCATGCGAGCAGCACGTTTAACAAGAACGAGCGGCCAAAGGGAGTAAGATGTCCATTTTGGGGGGTTTTATTATAGTAGATATTGAATTTTTCTATATTACACTATATTATACAATAAGCTACCATAAAATACTATAATAGACTACAGGGTATACTTTGCATGCGAGCCATAGTTTATTTGCTTCAGAATAAGGCAAGCTGTTTCAGTGGAGGTCACGCAAATCGAAGCCTTTCGTCAGCTGGACAAGAAGGCTGGGGCATCCGAGCGCCCATCTTTTTAGTGTTATTCGCGATGAAACAAGCCGGGGGAACTTCTTGTACGCCCTGTCTTCTGTGTTGCTGCCAAGGAATTCAAATGAAGTAACCGAAGCAGATGTATATAGTACAAGGGTCCCCAGTCCCCTTATTGTCGTAATTTAACTTAAGATCCTTAACAGTAATCCAGATTTTTTAGAGTTTGAGAGGGCTGTGTTGCGTGTTCTGTACAGTGCCAGGCTGGATTTGCCAAGGGCTGAGGGTTTAGGCTTTGGACTTAAGGGTTTAGTGCTCCCTCACAGTGGCCATACGGTCTTTGAACATGTGCAAGATGTGTGATGGAGCTTTTGCAGTCCAAGTGCTCGGACACTGTACCAACCCAGAATGCAGTGTTACTGATTCACCAATGCAGTTTTATTCCGAGTGAACTCATGATCGGATTCATGTGCAGCCCTATTAGCTCTCTGAGCCCCAAAAAGATGTGGGCGATAGTTCCTCCACGCGCTCTTGTCTCCTCATTATGCTG